GCATCGGTTCGACAATAAAGCGAACAGCGGTACCTTGGGAGAAATCACGTTGGATGAAGACGCGGTTGCAATTGGATGTTGGGAGGTTCTGTCTGTCTGACATTGTCAATAATATTGAAGATATATATCCACAAGTATTTTTAAAATCGACTGAAAAAAAGTTTCGAGTCATTTAAAAGAAAAATAAAATTAAATACAAAGAAAAAGAAAACTGTTTCATGAAACTGCCATTTATTCGTAAAAAGTACATGCCGTCAAAATGAGACAATTATCTTAAAGAGTACACAAACCGGGTTATGACAGATTCAGGGAAATAAGGAGGGTCGACCTCAGGGATAATATGGTCATAAAGGTCCATAGATGGATCAATTCAACTAGCAAGTCTCGATTGCCAGTGCAATTCCCATCCCACCACCAACACAGAGTGCAGCTATTCCTTTTAGAGATCGTCTCGGTTCATCTTCAGAAGAAATCATGACAGTTTCATTATTTTGAGTTGAAGAGGTATTGGCTTTTGAAGATGGTGATGGCCATCGGAGTTCAATCAAAGCATGAAATAGGGTGACCAAAATTCGAGCACCAGAGCACCCTAAAGGGTGCCCCAGAGCAAGAGAGCCTCCATTAACGTTTAATTTGTATTCTGGTATGTTCAATTCACGGGCAACCTAATAATAATGAAAATAAGTGTAAAACTAGCAAAATTTGGCTTAAACATTAAGTCGCTCAGAGCTTTCAATGGAAGTGTGAAATTAGATAGGTCTGCACTTCCAAATGCTGTGGCTCATCGCTATTTTGCCTATATCTAATCAAGCAAATCAAAAAAGAAATTCCGATAGTGAAATCGGTGCCAATCCGAATTAAATGCGTAGTCTATATTTCGATATTTATAAATAAAACATTCAGGACTCTGGAGTTAATGTAATAAGGTTTTCGAGATTTCTAGTAGATCATATATATGATAAGTATTCATTCTATTTCGTTAAGGAGATGGAATACTAGTGATTGAATTTCGATTAGCCTTGATTCCCAGAATGATTTTTTTCTAAGGATGGACTGTAGTTTCGACCTTGCATATGTCTCATCATCACTGCAAGCGAAACTTGAACATTGACAGTGTAGCATATAATCTCGGCAACTTAATCAATACGTCAAACTGCCACGATTGCTATTAAGTCACGAGGGAGACGTAAATTTTAATGAAGGTCAGACCTTCTACCTGACCTGTCAACGAGAAATAAGTGATATACTTGATTACCAAGGCAAATAAAACTTGGTTTTATCGGCAACCCCACAATAGAGTGATATGAGAAGAAATCAGGCCAGCCTTGA